CCAGAGAGACAAAACAAATAGTGCGCTGACATCATCATAAGTAAATGTTTTAAGCAATATTGTTTTAAAATTGGATCAATTGAGGGGCGTGGAAAATATAACGAGGTTGGAGCTGCACCAGATACTAAATGGCCAACAGGTATGTTAAGACAGTTATAAATAAATTATCAGAAACAAATAAAATAACTTAATGATCAATAAATTTAAATAACCGTATACATTTTGTCAGGTCTGGAGAAGATTTACTAGTAGTCGGAACAGAAATAATGGGAATTTAAGTAATGCATTATAGGATAACAAAATGGAAGTGGAGATACAATGGTATTTTTAAAGAGGATTGCATTTATTAACGAAACGTTTGTAAACATAACAATGGTCAAATTTTGGATGACCCACAAGAAGGTAAATAGTAAATAAATAATTAAATATTTGATTTAATTTTGAGAAACCCGGGTAGAATTTTTTCAATGGATTGAAGATGGAAATTGTTAAGGCTCTACCAAACAGAAAGCGTTATTTTAACGTCGCGTGATTATGTAATTTGTTACAATTCCACGTTATTCACGTGCGTGAAAGCACCACGCCGACGAACCATTTACCGCTTTAACACTTTCTGTTTGACAAAGCCTTTAGTGCTAACATGGTTTTATATAATATGGATTTTCTTTAACTAGTCTTAATTATTATAGATGTTGAAGAAGTAACATCTCCTGTCCCAAGAGAATAACAAATAGCTAATAATGAAATAGCTAAATAACAAATAGCTAATAATGACCTAGCAGGTAAATCAATTTTTAATTAATTTAAATGACTAAGCCTAAATACATTTAAAAATTATTTTGGTATAATATCATTAATAAAGACCGTATTTATATGTTTTTACACATCGTTACTGGGTCTATGAAGTCTTATGAGAGTAAAAAATGTGGACGATTCTGAATGAGTAGAAATATTTGAGAATATTTCATGGGTTAGAGAATATTTAACCCATTTAGCATATTTTGGAAAACTTCTAAAATTGTGAGAAAAAATTTGTATTTATTTTTAATTTTAATATTTACGGTACCCAGAAAAAATTTTTTTGAACATATACCATTTTTTTTTTTATAATTTCCAACTCTTACTTAAGTGCAATAGTATTCCATTAGAATGTGCCACTTTTAATCCTAATTATTACCTCACTATTAAAATGTTGAAAAAAAATTTTTTTAATGCATATTAAAGTAAATTATGATGTTTATTGATTTTTGCATATTTTTTTGAATTTTTGAGAATATAAATTGGGTCTTTAAGGGGATTCCATACCGACCGTTTTTAAGGAGTTGAGTATAGGCAATTTTTAGACAATCTGTATAGTACGTGCATGTGTGTGTGTAGTAAATACTAAATAATCATTTGTGTGAGTGACTTCCCTGTACCCTAGATTAGCGTTGCACACTTGCACTCGCATGCACATGTTATGCCTAACATGCGCATGCCTAACAACAAATTTGTTTCATGGCAAAATTATCTAAATCATAGACCTAAACGAATTATTCCAACATACAGACTTGTGTTTTACACAGATTATAATTTTGAAAACAAATTTTGTTTTGTTCAATAAACTTTGGATCTTTCGAGCCACATTCTTAATTTATTATTCTTAAAAAGAAACTCACTTGAAATTTAGTAAAAAACTGTATTCTTAAAAATTTTAATGGACATAAATAGTCTTATATTTATTTTTATTATTATTATGATTTGAAGGATTTAAAATAGACTTCATAATAAATTCAAATATGTTTTCAAAATTATTATAGGAGTAAAACTCAAGTTAGTACATTGGAACGAGTATAGGTCTATTTTACTCTAAAAGGCGGTAGTGTGGAAACATTAATATTAGTAACTAGAACCATATTTAGTTGTGTAGAATTATGAATGAGTGCATAACATTAAAATGTATCCAGAAGTATAAAATAATAATTTTAAGACCCTGAAGACTTGAAATGATTATTAATTATTTTTTTGAAATGACTAATTTTTTTTTTTTTTAGAAATTGTAGAAGTTTGTACCATATTTTGTTTTGACATAGAAACAAAATATGTTACACCGAGTTCATGCGCAATCATACATTTTGTAACACTTGTACTATTAGACTAATGGAAGACAATTTTAACACTTGTCCGTTGTGCAGAGCCAGCATTGTGGGATATGATGATATTCAACTATAAGCTATGCTAATATTGTATAATATAAGATTACAGTCTAAAGAGATATTATATACATTTAATTTGTTTTGTATACTTATAGTTACTGATTCGGGATTCCTAATAAGTAGTAGGTAGTTGTACACCATTATATCGTCTGACATAAGAACAAGTTTTCACAAAAATATTAATTACCTATTATTACGTATATTAAATAATTTAAATTTTATAAAAAGTACAACAGGTATGCATGCAACCTTACCTATGATTTGGTTCATCTGTTGGCGTCTTGAGTATTACCATTGATTATAAATATTAGTATTACAAAAATGTTCACTAACAAACTATGATCTTTCGATAAGAAAATACATCCGTTTTACAAACGTACAGATCGCTACCATTTCTACCAACTTTTTTTTGTTCCAATTTATAATTATCCCAATACTATTTTTTAAGAATAGTTAAAAATCCAGTTAGATTTAAAAGCATCAACAGTTTAATAATAATTTTTATCTTCTAACACTTATTTATCAGATTCTGTTATTTTTAAATAACCACTAGCCACTAGGGGTTTTTATTACAGCTGGTAAACATTTTATGGGCGGTGTTCCAAACGGTCATTATATGGTATTCATCATATTTTAATCTGTATTTATTATTTACTAAAAACATTAAATCCCAAATTAACATTAATCATCTTAAGAATTTGGGTGTGGGTGATGCAACTTGTTGTGCACATCATTTTTCTGCAATGCCGAGGAAAATGAGGTGAATACACCTAGAAATAATGAAACTTATGATTTTAACTAACTAACCTAACCTAACCTATGACGGATGTCTGCATAATATTTCAGGTGAGAATACATTTTTTTTTTATCAAATTGAATGAATTATGTAATTTCAATAATAGTACTAACCTGTTTTACAGTTTATATTGTTAACATTATTGTGTGTTACAATTTGTTTAACCAATATTATTCGGGGTCCGTTGGAAATCTATGCAGGTGGATGTTCGGGTCTCTAGCTTTATGATTCCTTTTACTTCCACTCATGTGCACAAACTGACTTGATGTAATTTTATAAAAACCAATTAACAACAACCCAGCGAATTCAAGTCAAAATTATTTTCAAATTTACTTGAGAATCATAAATTTTGGCAATTACAATTTTCATCAATGTCCATAACATAATAAAAAAAAAAATTATCATAATATTTTATTCATAGATATACAAAACTACTAAATATATATCTATGATTTCATGTTATGATAAGCAGGATAAGTCTGACGCTACATTTGAGCAGCATCGTGTAGAAATCATTGGTTGCTGACAGAATATAGTACATTTCTACCCCCCGTGGACAAAAAACTAAACAATAACAACTTCCCTACAACTATTTTCATTGTTATTAGATTTTTTTTATACAAAAACAACGTATCCCTACTTTGGGGACAAGTTCTTGTTTAATATATTATACAAAATCATAAAATATAATTTTTTGAGTTTTAGTTTTTTGTCTTAACTTAAATAAGTAGGAACAAAACATGTTTTAAGCATATTTAAGCAAAATTAAACCATTTTAAAAGAATAATACATTTTAAGAACTAATGAATAATAATAAATAAGTCAACAATGTTTGTCGATATGTACATTTTTTATTATTTCACAACGTTATATAAAATATACAAATATGAGTGCATACCAATAAATATAAATACAATAATACCTATAAACATTTATTTTAACATTTCATCTAGATAAGATAATTAGGTATCTCCTAATAATAATGTTATTTATTACAATAATTAAATCTCCAATTGGGTACATTTTTTTCCCATGTTTTATAATACAAAGTTTCATAGTTATAATACAAAATAATTTACAATTCAAATAAATAAAAAAAAATACACGATAATATAAAAAATAAATACAAAGTTAAAATTGAAATTCTTTCCTTTATTTCTCTTTTCACATATTAATTTACTCTTGTTACTAAATATTGATAGTTTATAAAACCTGATCTGAAAACTCTGTTACGGTCTATATCTATTCATAATAAATATTTAAATAGGCAGTGTTGTAAAGTATTTGAATGGTATTTTAAATACTTTTATTAACTATTGAATACTTTTTTTTTTATTCTTAATTTTTTTCTGCTTATAATATTTTGTGGTGCAGATGGCCAGACTGATTATTATTATAATTATTATTTGTTAATATTTTATGTTACTATATCTGAACTAAAACTTAGGTTAGGTTAATTATTTCTTTTTCTTACAAAAATTGTGTTTTAAAAATGATATATAAAATTTTGTTATTCAATAAAAATAAATTTCTTACTTAAACATAATTGTAAAGTATTAAAGTTCATAACAACAAGATGCCTCTACAATTTATTCTTGTTAAATAAAAATACCAAGTTGTTGTGGTTTTCCTTTAACATTATAACAATATAACATTACATATTTATTATTTATGCCTTATACTTTATCATTATTTAATTATATGAAAATATTATTACTAATTATATTGTAGTAAGCAAGTTACATGAGTGCAATATCATTGATGTTCTGCGGGAATGCTGAGGGACGAGTGATTCCAATTTATGTGGTCTATAAGGGGGAATCACTATGGACCATTGTACTCATAACATCTGCTTCCTCGCCCCGATATACGTCATTCGGCAACGATTTTTATCCGTGTTATGTTGTGTTTTGTTACAGTTGACTTCAGAAAGTGAGTTTAACCTTTACATATTTACATTATTATTTACTACTGTTTTTTAGTTAAAGTTTCTTTTTTAACATTCTATAATGGCCGGCAGTAGTAGTGATACTCGTAGTCAGAGCAAAAAAATCATTTTTTCGGTCTACAATTTTATAAAAGACCTATCGAAACAAGATGAAATTGTTCCATATATGTTTGCTCAATGCCTAAAGGCAACAGCTGAAGCTTGTGGATTATCAGAACGAACTGTGATTCGCATATGCAAAGAGGGTAAGGATAGTTTGGATCCAGAACAACAAGTTGCTTCGCTCAAGTCTCCACGTAAAACGTATAAACGTGCAAAACCGTTGACTGAATTAGACGATTTTGATGCGGACATAGTACGTAGAACAGTGCACGAGTTCTACAATAGAGGTGAGTAACCTACAGCTCTTACTGTTTTAACGGAGGTAAAGAAAAAGTATAATTGGGAAGGCTCTGTTTGGTCGATGCGTACGATTCTAAAAAATTTGAAATTTTCTTTCAAAAAGTGCAATGATGGAAGAAAATTTCTCATGGAAAGGAACGACATTGTGCATTTTTAAGAAAATTGTGTACCTACACTTCGGCAGTGTTGTGCATTATCTAGATAATTTTATCTAGATAATTTATCTAGATAAAATATAATTATCTTTTTATCTTATCTAGATAAAAAATATTTTAAGCATCTTTTTATCTTATCTAGATAAATAAATAGGTTATCTAAAAATAATTATCTAGATAATTATTCAGTCAATGATATAAAAATTCAAATTTTTAAATCCCGAATATTCACTGCGTTTCGTAATAATAATAATAATAATAATAATAAATATTATGATAATAACAGACTATTGACTATTTAACTGTGGTGTTCGTGAGTACGAACATTGGCCCGATAAAATGCGGCGTAGTCGACATTGCGGGAAAAACATTTTCAGCTAAAAATAGTTTATGCGTTAACGTCTACGGACCCAATCACTTAATTGTGTTTATATTGGTCACGGACTAAGATATAATGGACTGGAAACGAGCAGCTTATCATGGCCACGAATGTATGTACAAGAGGCAAAGTGCGGGGGGTCGCTATCTGTTCTTGGAGTTCACAGCGCCCTCTGTATTTAACACGGACTAAGATATAAATTGTGTAGCCAAATAAAACCACCGGTAGCGCTGAAAACTTCAAGAACAGTATTCTTATCAGCTAAGTGACATATTTTCGTGGCCGTCCCCCGATCCCCGCCGACCATGTCGTTTCCAGTCCATTATATCTTAGTCCGTGATATTGGTAATACATTTGATCCGTATACACAATTACGGAGAAAATAGAACCAGCTGTTTGCCTGTTTCTAGTTATTAAAAATTAAAATACACATACTGATTAGTGATTACTGAGTATCTATTATTCTATTGGGCATTAGCGTCTGCTGTATCAAATAATATTATAGTTCTTCTTTTTCCGCATTCGTCGTTCGTCATTACCTACCGAAGTTTAATGTTGTGGTCTTGTTGATACTTATTGTGTATTTATGTCTTTAAGTTTATACTACAAATATTGCGACATCATTTTATAACGTATTACTTCGAAATGGATAAATTTGTAACATCTATTCGTTCACTTAAAAGACAATATGAGGACAACGAATTTGAAACCGACAATCCTGGACCGTCTGAACGCGAACCATATATTCAAGATAATACATCGTCTAAAATGAATGCAACAATTGATGAAAAAGAAAATTACCTATTAGATGGTACATTTTTTAAGAAGATTTCAAACACTGGATCAAAAATGTCAGTTACTTGTTTAAACTGCAACAAAAAGATAATTGCGTACTCAGGTTCTACCGGGAACTTATTGAGTCACTATAAAGTAAGTGTACCTAATTTCAAAATATTTTGAATTGTATTATTTGATTAGTTATAGCTAATATTACTAACTAGGTACTAACTACTAAGTGCAAATATATTATTTTAAAGTATTTACATTATATTATGTATTTTGTAAAAAAAAGTATTAGTTTGTACATTCAAAAATATCTATAGGTACTAGTTATAAGTTTATAACTGATAGTTACTATATTATTTAATAAAGTAGGTAGGTACATTGAATAAACTAAAATACCTAAAATAAAAGTAGGTACCTACCTAAATTAAAAAACCTTATCGAGTAATATGTAGATTATACTATAATTTATAGCCATTATGTAATATTTAGTCTAGGTATTTAAAATTACTTTAGTATAATAGTTTTTAAAGAAGACTGCATTTTGTATTCATTTATCTATGGGTACTAGACACTAGTGTAGGTTCTGCTATAGTCTATAGTACCTACCATTATAACTGATTTTACTGAATAATTTAAATTTAAATAAAATAATACTCTTGAATATTTCCATAGCATGTGCATCCGGGTTTGATGACTGAATTAAAAGCATACAAAATAAAGAAATCTACTTCTACTGGTGTGTCAAAACAGTCAAAACAAATTACAATATGTCATTCTACTGAAAACTCTGGATTCAAGAGGAAATGTTCGAAAGAAAAGGTATACATTTGCATATTAGCATCACCTATTAATTAACTCCCAAAGAATTAGTTAATTACTATGATGACTATATACATAAATAATTTTAATATAATTCTATTTAATTAAATTTTAAATTATATATAATAGAAAATTAATAGTACATGCATACTACAAATTACCTATTGAATTCTTTTTATTCAAATTTCTAATTAAATGTAATAGAAAATTAATAGAACATATCTATTACCTATAATTTTAAATTTTAAGTATATTAATAAATTTAATTTATTTTATGCAACTTTTAAAAAATGCAGTAGTGTAGAAGTTTTAAGTTTAAATTTTATGAATTGTGATAAAAAAATATTTTCAGTGAAGTTTTGAGATCTTATAAGTTATAAGTACCTACCTATTGGCTATTATAATTTAAAATGTACTGAAACCAATTGAATTAAGAACAAAAATATGAAATTTCTAAATAATATAAATAATGTATACTGTATAGTGTATACCATATTATTTTAAAAGTTCATATTTATGTCCTTACTTTATTTGTATTCAGTAAATTTTAAATTATTATAGGTACCTACCTAAAAAATCTCAAAAGCTTATTGAAGATATTTATTTATTACCTGTTTTTTAATAATTACGTAAAATAAATTAAATTTATAATTAATATATTTAAAATGTAAAAACATAATATGTCATGTTATGTTAATTTGCTATTACATTTAATTTAAAATTTTAATAAATGGAATTCAAATACCTATGTAAAAGTTATCTATCTAAAAGTTACAAAATTACAACTTTTATATCATTTTTTTTTGGTATATTATTGTTTCACCAATAAATATTATAAAATGTTTTCAGGTTACCGAATTGGTGTTCGACTATATTGTAGAAGAGATGAAGCCGATATCAACGTGTGAAAAACCTTCGTTTCGAGCACTTATTATTGGCCTGACTAGTGACAATTTTGTACCTGATAGGAGAGCCATTAGTAATCAGCTATTAAACAAGTACAAAACATATGTAACTGACTTAACAAATTTAATTTCTGAGCAAATGTATGTATGTATTACTACAGATATATGGAGTTCATTAAATAAAAGTTATTTAGGAATGACACTGCATTACATAGAAGAAAAATCATACAATCGATTTTCATATGTTCTAGCATGTCAACGAATAGAAGGAAGCCATAATTATTCAAACATTGCTAAATGTATTTCTAAAGTTATGAATAGTTATAAAATTAATGTCACAAAAATAACACATACAGTTACAGACAATGCCAGTAATTTTGGTAAAGCCTTTCGTGTTTATGCACAACAATTTGCACCGCCTGAAACAGTTTCAAAAAATAATGTCACTTTAGATGCTCAAAATATTAATATATTGATGGATGCTTTCGACCAAAATACTGAACACCATTTTGAACTAGAATCTGAATTTTTACAAAATGATGTTGAAAATGATCCGGATGATATTATAGATGTAGTTAATGTTTCTGATATTTTAACTATAGCTTCCAACAACTATAATGAATATTCTGAAGACAATGATGATTTGGATATAATTCTTTCTAATCATATAACATGCTCTGCACACACTCTCAATTTAGTTGCTACCATTGATACTTCAAAAATTACTAATAATCAATACAAAATAATATCTAGATCTGCTTTTGGTAAATTGACAGCCTTCTGGAATTTAGTTAGCAGGAGTACAATGGCATCGGATGTAGTTTTTAATATATGTAAGTGTAAATTCCCTTTACCCGTAATAACTCGATGGAATTCATTTTATGATGCGATCAAAAAAATTATGCTTTGCCGTGAAAAAATAATTGAGTGCTTTGAAAAATTGAAGCTGAGTCAATTAAAAACAACAGAATGGAATTTTTTGGAAGAATACATTAAAGTTATGCAGCCTTTGACAACAGCTTTGGATAAACTCCAAGGTGAAAAATCCTGTTACCTTGGTTATGTTGCTCCAACTATTATAGCAATTAGACGTATACTATTAAACCAAAGCCATTTGACCTATTGCAAGCCATTGTCTTTATCTATTATAAAAGGTCTTGAAAAACGATACTCTTTTATTTTTGATTTAAATGATCCAAAAAGTAAGCCCTATATATTGTCGTCGGTGACCCTTCCAAAATTTAAACTCAGTTGGGTGCCTTCTCAGTTCTCTGATATTTGTAAAAATTTATTTCTGTTAGAATGCAATGAAGTTTGTTCTATTATGAATACGGAATCTGGACCTTCTACAACAGACAATGATAGTGGCGATGAATTTTATACACCAATTTCCAATTCTCAACTAAGTACATCACCATTAGAAAGTTCCAATCAGCATAGATCTGAAAACTTGGCTAGTGTACAAGGATTATCTTACTTAAATTCCAAAAAGAAAGATGGAAAAGATTTAATAATTCTAGACCATTATCCAATAGTAAAACATATATTTTTAAAATACAATACTACATTACCATCTTCAGCACCAGTTGAAAGGCTCTTTAGCAATGGAAGTCAAATTTTAACTCCAAGAAGGAATCGTTTGAATGACAAGACGTTTGAGATGTTAATGTGTTTAAAATCTAACAAGTTTAATGTATAATTGTATTTATTTTGACATTAATTAATAAAAACAATAAAGAATTTCATTTACATTTAATTTTAATTTTTAAAAAAGTAGATTAGGTACAGAATAATAGTTTTAACTATTTTCTCAGTTTTTTCTTCATTATAAAATACACTTTTGACACAGAAATACTAACTAGGGAAGAAGAAGAAAAACGCCCAACCAAAATATTATTACTATCCTCGGATCTACAATATTAAATATTAATTATCTGTTTTTTTATCTAGATAAATGGAGTTATCTTTTATCTATTATCTAGATAAATATTTTAAGTGTTATCTATTTATCTCATCTAGATAAATTTTCAACACATTATCTGTTATCTTATCTAGATAATTTTAAAGTTATCTGTGCACAACACTGCACTTCGGGAACAAAAGGACACCCGTCCTGTCGTTTATTTTAACGAAACGTGGATAAACCAAAACCATAGCAGAACACGCATATGGCAAAATGACGAATATACCACAGGTTTAAAAGTACCCACTGGCAAAGGAGGTCGCCTTATTATTTGTCACGCAGGGTCTGCAAAATATGGGTTTGTTAGCGATTCCAAATTAATATTTCGAGCTAACGTTAGCAGTCTTGAGAGTGACTATCATACCTCAATGAATGCCGAGGTATTTAAAAATTGGTTTATTGATATGTCGAACCACCTCGAAGAGCCGTCGGTTATTGTGATGGACAATGCATCTTACCACTCAATGCTTAAAGATAATTTCCCCAAGAGTAATAGCCGAAAAATCGTTGTGGAAGTGGCTGAAAAATAAAAATATTGAATTTTCCCAAGCAGAAATTTTTAGTTTTAAAATATTATTATAACATTATAATAACGAATAATATTAGTATAAAGTTATCATAATAATATTATAATTACAAAATGCTGTCTGGGTTAAGTTACTTAGATATAATTGAGTTAATTTTTCTCGTTTTAGACGATCCTGCGTTCGCCGCGGTTGTTGTTTGTGCGGCGGCAGCGTACCACGGACGACACCCCGGCGCCGCGAGACAGGACTATCGAATAATTTGAGCCACGCAACAAACACATCCCATTATTCAGTCATTGTATACATATAGGTAAGAGCAAAAATGTTTTCTATCCCTTACAGGAGGGAAAAGCATTTGTATTCCCTTTTCATCAATAAATTGAGAGAGGGAATAGAAGGAAAAAGAATGGAGAAACTAAGAGCATACAATTACCTCTACGAGATTTTGAAAATTAGGGAGTGCCACTATCACGAACCACTGAGTGAACAAGCGGACTTAGAATATAAACGGCTACTGGACCAGTTGGTCGAAGAGATACCCTATAATAGTTCGCGCCAGGATTTGCACAAGAAAATAATAGAGCGAAACTTGGAGTCGGAGCAAATGGTTCTATACTGGAAAATGTCAGGGCATGTGAAGATGTGGAACTCGAAAAAAACACTAAAGGAACATATCCCGTCACAGGCCACAATATCTTCAAGATGTCCTTAGAACAATTTCAAGCTGTACCCATGATGCCGGATGAAGGCGGTTATACACTTATAGCAAAAGCTGCTGCTGCGTATTTGACAATATTGTTAGAATCAGCAAGAATTGATCTAGAAGAGGATTCAGTTGTTAATTTGGTTACGGACATTTTCTTTTCTGCGGATCTCATGGAGTTTTTCCATAGTCAGAATGGAAATTAGCGATAGACATCAGCAAAGAAGGAAAAGAAAAGCAAATAATTTGATAAAAAAAAAAAAAAAAATCAAAATCAACTTTTAAAAGCAAGTTACTACGAAAATATTATTTTATTTTCCTTTTTTGGGATTATAATGCTATTTTCATATTTCAAAATTATACACGTTTCCATAAACGACTTCAAAACCATACAAATCCTCTTATAAAAGACCTTTCTATCCTTACACTCCCAGGAAACCCAAACCGTAGGTTAAAAAGAAAGTGGTGCCATGACCTTTTACAAAACTTTAATGTCTAACTCTCTGAATAATAATAATATAAACAATTAAAAAAAATATATATATTTCAAAATAGCCTCTCCAGGTACTTAATTTGTATTGTCGCTCATCTGTCTCGTTATTTTTGCTTAACAGACTACCATGCCGCGGAATACAAGACGGGAACTAGGTACGAGGGCCTATCAAAATTACAAACCAGAAGTGTTAGAAGCATGTTTAAGAGGCATACAATCTAAAGTAATGTCCCAACGAAAAGCTTCAGAACATTTCAAAATTCCTCGATCAACAATTAAAAACAAGCTGAAAAAAAACCACGGTAATAATATTGGCCATCCAACCGTATTTAGTCGCGCCGAGGAATTAAGTTTTGAACAGCATTGTATACATTATCAAATTTTGGTTTTCCCTTGGTCCCTTATGACTTAAGGATGATAATAAGCCGGTACTTATGTAAAAGAGGCGTACGCGTATCCATATTTAAAAATAACATTCCAGGGATCGACTGGGTAAATTTATTTTTAAAAAGGCACCCTAATTTATCCGTTAAAGTTAGTGCTAACATCAAAAAAACTCGTGCCAATATTACTGCCGACGATATTAATGAATACATAGACCGGCTTGAGAAGACCTTGTCGGGTATTCCACATTCAAGAATTTATAATTATGATGAGACGAACTTGACCGATGACCCCGGCCAGCAAAAAGTAATAGGCAAAAGAGGGTCAAAGTCATAGACCTTATACTAGTATAAGCCCTCACATAGCCACAGCATCCCCTCCTCAAAAAACTTACACCCACTGACTATGACCAGAAACAACAAACAAGGTTGGAAACCTATTTCCCAACCTACCTCCGAAAATTGCAAAGCAACGTTCAGCTCCCCCTTCACCAATACTATCTAATTCTATAGTCCGTTCAAAATAAGAAACGTAGACGGCGGCGACCAGTTTTCGACGGCGGCGGACAGATGTTTCTCCCACCGTGCGTCTATTTTACCGACGACGGCCGCTGATATACGATCGTTGTCGATGTATTAGCGTTCGTTGTGGAATTCGGTCTCATTGTGTTCCGACCGTGCTTAGCGTAACGTGTGTTCACAATTTTATTCCTACAGAGATTTTTTTTTCATCATGAGTGATTTTGGTGATATTTCTGATCCAGATGAATTGTCTACTATTTCTCCAAAGAGAAAAAATCCAAAAGGAAAAGTAAGTAGAACATTTTTAATATTTTATATTCGTCGATGTATGTTACATAAATAATAATAATAGTTTAATGTGTTATTATGTTTATTAAATAATTAGGTATTATACATCAGTTATTCATATAAGTTAATATTTTTTTCACAGTATATATCCAGCCGTCAAAAAATAATGGTCATAAATTTGTACAAGGATATTTTGATGAAATCGCCGGACATCAAGTACGAAGATATTGTCAATAATTTGTCAGAGGCCTCGGGGTTAGGTCGTGAGACAATTAGTAAAACCATCGCTGAATACAGACGTACAAATACGGTTACATCTCCCAACAAAAAACGCGTTAAGTCTTCTCTCTTCGACAAAATTGATGATTTAGATCGCAATGGATTACGACAAAAAGTACATTCGTTTTGGTTGCGTCGTGAACTACCTACGATCGACAAAATATTAGTTGCAGTGAACGAAGATCCATCGCTTCCTAATTTCAAACGTACTACTTTGTACAGTACCATCAAGAAATTGGATTTTGTGTTCGAAAAAAGAAAAAGGTGCAGTGTGCTAACGGAGAGGGAAGACTTGATTGTTTGGCGCCGAAATTATTTGTATAATATCCGCAAGTATCGTCAGGAAGGTCGACAAATTTATTATTTGGACGAGACGTGGTTGAATGCAGGCGACTGTGTGGACCGCGTGTGGAAGGACAATACTGTTCTTTCCAAACACGACGCGTTCAACAAAGGACTAACGACCGGGTCGACCAACCCAACTGGCAAGGGCAAGCGGCTGATAATACTTCATATCGGTTCGGACAAAGGTTTTTTGCCAGGTGGTTTATTATGCTTTGAATCCAAAAAAAATAGCGCGGATTATCACGATGAAATGAATGGTGATAATTTCAAAGAATGGTTTGAGGCTATTCTACCTCGACTTGAGCCTAATGCCATTATTGTTATGGACAACGCCCCATACCATTCCGTCAAATTGGAAAAATATCCGAGTACGCGTTGGAACAAAGCCCAATTATCGGAGTGGCTTCAATCAAAAGGTGTTGTTCTTGACAGACCATTTTTGAAGCATGAACTGATGGCCAAAGTACGCGAAATACCACGTAATAAATCTTACGTCATCGATAAAATTGCAGAAGAAGCAGGACACACCGTACTCCGATTACCACCCTATCATTGCGAATTTAATCCAATTGAATTGGCATGGGCTATGGTAAAAGGTTACGCAAAACGCGAAAACACCACATTTAAGATGGACGACGTTCGCCAACTTCTTCATACGGCAATTGAAAGGGTGACATCAGAAAATTGGCAAAATTTCATCAAACATGTCATCGGAGAAGAAGAGAAAATTTGGAAAGTCGACGATATCATGGACCAAATGGACCAAATGGAACATTGTGTTTTAACAATAACGGGAGAAACTGATTCTGATTATGAGTAATTTTTTTTTAAATTTTTTATATTTTTTTTTTATTACCTATTGACTTTTTTTTTAATTTCTGTTTATCTTTTTATGTATTGTAATAAATAATTTTTATGTTTAAATTTGTTTTTATATTTTATGTTTTTACGTAATATACCTGGTAATAACTCGAAAAAAAATTTAGTTTAAAAAAATGGTTTTATAATAATAAAAAAAAGGTTGTATGCTGCGCTGACGTACGGTGAATACAGCCCAACGCAGCGCCGTGCCGGTTCAATACATTTTAAGTTATTTGTTCGCATCACTGGTCAACAATAGAATGAGGCGACGCTCTCGCCGGCGACGGTGTAAAAGCTCGATAGCCGTAGTGAGGCCACGCCCATGCGCAGAAGTC